TAAAGTGGAGAAAAGACCTCATTCTCATTGAAATTTACTGGTTCATGCATCCGAAAAAGCTATTCTCCTCCAAAAAATAACTACGAATTCGGTAAAAATTTATTGAATCCTAATTACGATGCAATGTCAATCCAAATGCAAAATCAAACTTCTCCTGCAATTTTTCGTGAGCAGAGACTATATCAGCTCATAAATAAGTCAAAGCTCTGGAGAATTGTGAAAACGGACTCACATAGTAAGAATTTCCACGGTACTCGTATCAATTGGGAGACACTAAGTACAAAGTGCAAGGACCCATTAAAGTGGATGAATACTTCAGGTATAAAAATAAAGAAAATCCACTTAAAATGTGACGTCCCAAGCTAGTAGCCAAATCCAGCTAACCAGATGGCAACGATAAAAAATTATAATTATTTTTAGTATGCCAAAATTCACAAAAGTATGCTAATATGATCAATGCGTGCGTATATACAATCGGAATTGAATGGACTAAGTTATGTGATATATGCAGAATAGATGTACCGATACGCAAATATAGAAGGAAAACAGGTACGCCGCTATTACAATGGAAGTTAAATGTATTAGAACCGATACATTCGCAAATAAACCTATATATACATATACATATATATATATATATAAGTATAAATATGTACATAGAATTCCGAATCATTGAATTTATCACCTTGTTTAGGAAAAGAGAGAACCGATTTTTATAAAGTCCGAACCTTAAAAAAACTCCAAAAATATAATAACAAATGCATGGACCAAGTAAGCTTTCTATAGGCGAAAACATAATGTATGCTGGCAAATTTAGTTAAATTCCATCCACTTAACTCGATCAGTTTCGTTTTAGCTTTGACAAGCTCGCTCGCACCTCGTCTAAATCTACTGGAACACTGATGACTCTGAATTCGAAAGAATCTTCTTCAATTCTGGTGAAAACATGATTAGCTTTCGTCCTAATTTGTTTGACTTTGTAGCTTGATTTACTTATATGACAGTCCGCTCTGATTATAGCTGTCATATGATAGATAATGCGTTTTCGCTGTAATATAACGAGGTTGTCTCGAAAATATATTCAATCAAAAGGTTTCAATAGAACCAAACAAAAGTTAGCCAAGAGAAATCTGCCATCGTCTTCTGGCAAGATCTATCTTTATTACACAATCTTTATCATCTCTTCATCTCAGGTTCATTCGTAATATAAGTAAACTAAATAATGTTAAATCTAGAGATTCTTTATTATTTGAGCAACATTACCATAAAGATTAGGATACTTTAAAAGAGGTGCTATAATCATAAATTATTCCAGTTTCGACCCTCCCCACCGTGTTTGACACATATTGAAGAAGAGCGGGAAATTCTGATAGCTGTGGCTGGGCATTTACATTATATTTTCATCTGCGATGCCCAGTACCTGCAGAGCAGTGACCGAATTCGCTCATTGTTAACTAACTTATTTTCAAGGAAATTCGTGGTATGGCGTAAATTAATTAACAAATATTTCGATTACTAATGTAAACAACTCTCCATCAACTCTCATAGAATTGAGTAAGAAGATTCTTTTTCTGGACATTTTGGTTATCTGTCCTTTCTGTTTGTCTTCTCCGATGTGTACATGCCTTCTTAGTTTAAGAGCACACAGTGTACAATCGGAACATAGAATAGAGGCGATAACACATTAGACTTGACGCTTATTTGGACAGATATGGATACCTAGTAGATGGGAGTAATGGGATAAGTCGACCATGTAATATACATTAGGAGGAATAAGTGATGAGAAAAAAACAAGATTAGTGAATTCTAAAAAAAGGATTAATGTGATTCGACTGTGCATTGTTGGGGGGACTTTCATTTCGTATGAAAGTGCATGAAGAAGAGATTCGTAGGTCGATCTCGCCAGAAAAGGACGGATGAATCCCGTTGTACTGCGGCCGTTTGGCTTTTATACGACGTTCAGATTGATACAGTCCACGAGACCTCCTTCGTTTCGGGTGAAAACTGGCCGAGCTTTCATCCATCAAATTATGGAGATCATCAGAGCGAGGCAGGAGGAGGTCTCGTGGCCTCCGTCAACCTG